CCACCGACCGCACGAGGGCCGACCCTTTTGGGGGGCGAGGGGGAGGAAAGAAGTCACCGTGTCCCGGGCTCCAATCCTGAGGCCCATCAAGGAAAGGAGGAGGTGAGGTAGCGGCTGGGCCGCTCTAGTGATGTCCCATTTCAGCGCTACATTGAAGCCGACGCAATATCTTGTGCGTAACAATGTACTTGCATACCGTTGTCCGCAGCGCTGTAGGTCGTAATCTTCCCGGCTTCAGGCAGAATGGTCTCGCCGTAGCTATTGCGGCCAACGGGGTGCCGCGCGCTGGAGCCGGCACGTAGTGCCGTCCAGCCGGCAGACGGAGGCGGACGTCTCGTCCAGCTTCTCCACGAAGCAATCGTGGCGCGTCTTGTCTAAACTGTCCTGCAATGCGTCGCCAATGTCGGTCGGCTTTCTGGTAGTCTAGGTCTTCCGTAGGCAGGCTTTGGTGTTCACCACATAGGACCTCATAGTACAGAGACTGGCCCTGGTAGCTCACCCGGTGGCCATGGAAGCCCTGCAGGTGGCTCCCGTAGTTCAGAGCACAAGGGACGCAGCTCAGCGGGTGGCCCTGGTAGCTCTGCTGCCGGGTCTTGTAGAACACCAGGTGGTCCTGGTAGGACTTCTAGAAAGTCTCGGAGGTCTGCTTGCGCCCGTGCAGCGCAGTTTGTAGCTCAGCTGGCTGGCAGTTCAGTTCAGCTCGTTGTCCTGGTAGCTCAGCAGGATGCTCTCGTAGTTCGGCCTGCGGGCCGCGCAGTTCAGGTTGTGGCCATCGTAGCTGCTCGGGTCGCCCTCGAAGCTGAGCTGGTGGCTCACGGAGTTCAGCTCCAGGCCCTACCAGCACAGCCTGTCGCTATGGTAGCTCTTCAAGAGGCTCTAGTATTTCTTCTTGCGGTCCTTCGAGCTCAGCTCGTTGCCCTCGCAGTTCAGGTGACCTAGCTGGCTGCCTACGTCCTCAGCTGGTTCGCCTCATAACTCAGGCTGAAGCCCTGCGCCTGCAAGTGGTCGTCGTAGCCCTCGTAGCTGTGCTCGTGGTCCTCGTAGTTCAGCTGATGGTCGTGGTAGGTATGGGAAGCTCTGGTAGCTCAGCGGCTGACCCAGGTAGCTCGACAAGTGGCTCCCGTAGGGCAAGCAGGATGTCCTCGAAGCCCTGCGGGTGATCCTAGTAGTTCAGCCTGTGGCCCTCGTAGCTCGGCTGGTTGCCCTTGTAGCTCTGCTGGTGGCTCTGATCGCTCAGCAGGTGGTCCTTGTTCCCCTGCTTGCGGTCCTCGAAGTGCAAGCTGAGTCCTCGCAGCCTCGTCTGTGGTTCTTGTAGCTCTCCTGGTGGTCCTGGTAGCTCTGCTGGTGCCTCTTGTGGCTCAGCTGGAGGTCCTCGTCGTTGAGCTGGTGTCCCTCGTTGAACTGTTGGAAACTCTGGTAGCTCAGCAAGTGGCCTGGGTAGCTCTGCCGGTGGCTCCCGTAGCTCAGGCTGTTGTCCTCGGAGCCCTGCGCGTGATCTTAATGGTTCATCCGTTGGCCCTGGCAGCTGGGTTCGTTGCCCGGGCTGCTTACCAGGTGGCCTTTTGACCCTTCCTGGTGTCTCCCGTGGCTAAGCTGGTTGGCCTCGTAATTGGACTAGCGGCCCTCGTGGAACTGTTGGAAGCTCTGGTAGCTCAGCAGGTGGCCTGGGTAGCTCTGCCAGTGACTTCCGCAGCTCATGTGCCGACCTTGCCGCGGCGACTGAGGGCTGCGCCTGCCTCGGGAAGCCTGCCAGCCCCCGAATGAACCCCCTCTTGCGGATTCCAAAATCCGACCGCTGCGAATGCCCGCCTGCGTGGAATGAGCCAGCACCTACTTGATGGGGGACCTCTCGCACTACCCTTGCGCGAAGACTTGGCGCCAAAGGTGCGCCCTCACACTGGCCGAACGGCAGGTATAACGCTTCCTCTGGCAGCACTGGGCCGTGCCGCGACAGTCTGAGTACAAGGTCAACTCGCCACCTATGAAACGAGTGGTTGCAAAAACTGCGCAGTCCCTGGGGCCACATGGTCTGGGCACGCGCTCAGGGGGACCCACCCGGACCAGGTGGCCACTGGGCGACGCTCGTGGTCATAAGCGACCACGCTCCACCCTGCCACGCGGGAAGGCAACACGCCATCTGGACCCCAGCCGTCGCAACAAAAAACGTGGCCTCCCTGGAGCATGAGCTGCGCGCCCGTGGTGGGGATGGCAACCCGTCGCGTGTCGCAGGCACCGATGCGCTGGGCAAGGTTGAAGATGGACTTCAGGGAAGGCAGCGAGGGCGCTGGCCAGCGACAGGCAACGCTTTGGCAGAATTCGGAGGGAGCCAGCAAGCCGCCCGAACACTTGCCCACTCTCGGCCCTTATTTCCGTGGACGGATCCCAAGGCTTTCGGGGAAGCAGCTGACACAGGGGACAGGAAGGAGGCCTCTGACAAAGCGCTCCTGGAGCTCGACAACCAGCGGGAGAGACAGCCGGCCGCCTCTCCGGCTTCTGGAGGGGGGGGGGGAGAGAGAGAGAGAGAGAGAGGAGCATTTCAGTACTGCGCGGCCCACAACCTCCCTCAACCGCAGCACTGAAGCCCTGAGGAGAAGCAAAAAAGCACGGGGAAAGGAGGCGGAAGGGAAGAGGGAGGTGGCTCCGCCAGCTCGCGTCGACTCCCGCGAGCCTCGGCAGCCCCTCTGGGACATCGCGTCTGCCCGTGGGCCCCCCAGCTTGAGGAGACGGCCACCACGACGGACGCCAGGAGCCCGAGGAAGCCCGTGACCATCAGCGGAATCCGCCGACTCTGTCGTCGTGTGTGAGGGATCTGTCTGGTCCCGTCGACGGGACGGTCCTTCCCCGTCGGGCGGGAGAGAGCACTCTCCCGTCGTCGGGGGGGAGTCCAAGGATTGAGGGGAATCGACCCACGTCGCAATCACGTCAAAGGGAAGCCCCTTCCCTTTGTCCCTTCCCCGGCGGGGGGGGTGGGGTCCCGGGGGGAGGGGGGTCAGAGTCGCATCGCCTCTGGGGGTCCTCCTCTCCCACACCGTCCTCCTCTGGTCCTCCTCTGATCCTCCTCCCCACCTGGGGGGGGGAGTCCCAGGGGAGGGGGGGGGACAGATACGCATCCGTCCCTGGGGGTCCTCCTCCCCCTCCATCCCCTCTCCCACGCCGGTCCTCCTCTGGTCCTCCTCCCCGGGGGGGGGGTCCCAGGAAAGGGGTGTCGTCCTCCGCCTCCTCCTCCTCCTCCTCCTCCTCCTCCTTCTTCTCCTCCTCCTCCTCCTCCTCCTCCTCCTCCTCCCCATCCCTCTCCCCCTCGCACCTATCGCACCTACTACCCCCTTCACCGACGCGCCTCGCGACCCCTTGCGAGCCTGCCTCGCAGCTGCGCTCGCGCGCGGGCGGCGCGGCGGAACGGACAGCACTGGATCGCCCTCGGGGCGGGAACTGCAATCGGCGACACCATAGCGAGTCCGCACACTCCTGGTCGAACGGTGCTGTCGGGACCCATGTCGGCGATGAAGGGGCGATGAAGGGGCCATTTGGGGTCGATGCACACATCGCCCCCTGAGCCCATCCCCCACTTAACGTTGCCCCTGAGCCTCCCCCGGCCACACGACGTGTGGGCAGGCGTTTATCGGCCACATGCACGGAGCGGCCCTGGGCACGACTGGCCTCTGGTGCGCGGCACGCCGATCGTCGCATGCTGTGCCACAGGTGGCGGCCTGCAGGGCTGGACCTAGACGTTGTTGTTGGTTGTGTTTTCATGTTGCTTCTCGTGTTGCCCTTCCTGCTTTCCTCTACCTCCCTGCCAAAACGAACAACAAAACACAGCCGAAACCCGGCAAAGCAGCGATGAGGTCCAGCCCTGGCGGCCTGCGTGCTTGGGTCTGCCTCCCCCCCCCGCGCCCTCCGAAATCCGCGTGCCACAGGTCAGCCCTGCGAGGGGTCCCTCTCGCGCGCAGCCGAGGTGAAAACGCGGGTGCCGCAAACGCACGGGGAGCGGGCAACCCAGGTACAGGAAGGTGGCCATGACGAGGCCCGGGAGGGGGCCCCCATAGGGCTGCAGGCCAAAGCTCGAAAAAGTGAATTGCAGTCGGGGCGTTGACCTAAGGAACCCAAATAAGGAACGAGGCCCCCAACACTCGATCTCCCATCGGAAGCCTGGGGACAGGACAACCCAAAGCAAACTGCGAAACAGTGAAGGAACAGGGAGCCCCTCCCCAACGAAAAGGGCTCCTTCCTCAGCGCCCCGACCGTATCTCTAGAGGCCTCCTAGATGGGGTCCGAGTAGATGGGGTCGAAGAATCGCACCGCATCGCCAATGCATCGGCGATGCATCGGCAATGCATCGGCGATGCATCGGCGACGTCGGCGTGGGGAAACACAGTCTCCACATCGAGCCGCATCGCCAATGCATCGCCGATGCATCGCCGATGCATCGGCGATGCGGTGCGAGCCTCCGACCCCATCTACTCCGACCCCATCTGGGAGGCCTAGAATCTCTCCCCGGGGAGAACACACGGCCATGAACCGAGGCTCTCGGAAGCCCGCGCGGACTTCCTGGGAGCGGCGCCGGGCCGGGCCCCCTTCCCCTGGCGCACGGAGCGCGGGGGGCGGGGGGCGGCGCTGGAGGCACCGCCGGGGAGGGTCCAGCGCCGATCCGAGGAGGCCGCGCGGACCTCCGACAGTCTGTGTTTATACCACAGGAGCTCGGCCACGAGGAGCCTTCTGCAGGAAACCCAACCCTGACACCCCAGGACGTGCGTCGATTCTTAGTGCGGGAACGTCGCGCTCTCCTTAGCAAGACCATCGAAACCCGAGAAACCCAGGGCACCCTGGAGGCGAGCAGGGCGTTTCTTGGCATGGGCTTCCCCACCGTATGAAGTTGTTTGACCCCTGAGGTGCGCCCTCTCTTCATCCCGCGTGCTTCCCCTCGCATCAGCTTCTCGCCGACGCCGCGCGGACGTGCAGGATGGGGCCCAAGTCCCGCCTGGAGCTCACGCCACGCTCGGGCTTCAGGCCAGGGAGTTGGCCTCCGCGTACTTCAGCCCGGAGTCGATCTCGCCCTTCAGCTGCACCTTCACCTCCTCCAGGCGCTTCGTCTCGTGCTCGTTGAGCTCCCCGATCGGGAGCACCTTCTCGATGCCCTTGGGTCCGAGGACAACCGGCTGCGCGAAGTAGGGGAGGTCCGTGACCGTGGACGCACAGTAGGCGCACTCCGTGCGCCTCCTCAGGTGAATCAACAACGCCATAAGCATAAACTGTCTTGGATCTGCACTGGACTCCGCCCCCTGGCGCGCGGCAGGGGCGGCGCCAGAGGCGGCGCCAGACGCGTCGCCAGGGTGCCCCAGCGCCGATCCGAGAAATCCGTGCGGAGCTCCGAGAGTCTTCGCTTCTGCAAATGTTTGGTGTCCGATTCCTCCCAGAGAGGCCCGAGAGGACCGCGGAGCCAAACCGGGCGCCCGCGTACGCCATGGAGAGCGTAGCGCTACCCTTCCCGTTCTTCGCGTTCACGACGTCGGTGCCGGCGTCCTGCACGTGCTTGTCCATGTCGGGCACCTTCTCGGCTGGCAGCAGCTTCCCCGCCTTGTCCTGCGAGAAGACTGGCAGGATGGTCGCCCCTGCCAAGGACAAAGGAAAACTGTCCGCACACGCCTGTCCTAGCAAGGTCCGTCATAAGTCCGGGATCGGTACGTACACCATCCTGGAGACTTACACCGATCCTCGACTCAGGATGGGCCTGGCCAGGATATCCGTGTGTGTACGTGGTGCTCGTCGCCAGACCTGCGTGGCCGCCGATGACTGGCACGTTGATGAAGTTCGGGTTCTTGCCCGTTTCCTCGCCAACAAACTTGTTGGCACGGACGATGTCCAGCGTTGTGACGCCAATGATCTTCATGGGGTCCAAGCCTTTCTTCTTGTACAGCTCCGCCATGGCGGGCACGATGGAGTTGACTGGGTTAACGATCATGGCCAAGACGGCCTCAGGGCAATACTTGGCGCAAGCCTCGACCAGGCCTTTCGCGATGTCTGCGTTGATCTTGAAGAGGTCGTCGCGGGTCTGCCCAGGCTTCCGCGGCAAACCCGCGGGGATGAGCACGAGGTGGGCACCCGTAAGGGGCTCCTCCATAAAATTCATCGGGGGCTCGTTCAGCTTCCCGACGTAGCCCTTCACCGTGCACTTCCTCTCCAGGTGGATCAGATCCTGCGCCACGCCGGCCGGCGGCATCGGAGAGATGTCCAAGTCATAGATGCAGAGCTCCGAAACGTTCTTGTCCATCGCCATCAGCATCGCTAGCGGCTGCCCGATCCCGCCGCAGCCGCCGCACACGACGACCTTACCCGCCACCGCGCCCCCTGCCACGCCAAGGCGTTGTATGATGCCAAGTGCTGCCAAGTGGAGCTTCTCTTGACTAGCTACCAGACCACCCCAACCCAACCCGAAGACCCGAATTTCGGGTTGGGGGGGGTAAGGGTTCCACGCGTTTTTTCTATGTTTCCCGACCCCCCCCCCCCACTAGAAATCGAGGGTAAATCTGAGCCTTCGGGTTGGGTTGGGATGGTTTGGTGGGTGGTGATCTCTGCGCTCCTGTAAAGTTCTGAGGGCACACCCCTTCCAGAATACCAGTGGTTGCGGTGCTGTGTTCTTCCAACGCTCTCCAGCTCAAGAGGGCATCTCCTCAAGGGGGCCCAAGATGGCCCACGATATCCCAGGAAAGTCCCGAATGGCCCAAACAGGGCTCCAGGAGGCCTCAGGAGCGCCTGCGGAAGAGTCCAAGACAGCCCAAGAGGCTGCCGAGACCGTCCAAGAGGGCCGTCCCGAGGCGTCAAACCGCTCAAGACGGCCGAACAAGACCCCAAGAATCCCCAGGCGGGGGCCCGAGACAGTCAAACTCATCAAACAAATACAATGGACGCCAATCCACAAGAAACCTTCCACAAGAAACCCAACCCTGAGACCCAAGGACGTCCATTGATGTTTGGTGTGGGAACGTCACGCTTGCCTTAGGAAAATCATCGAAACCCAAGAAACCCAGGGCACCCTGGAGGCAAGCAAGGTATTTCTTCGCATGGGTCTCCACTGTACGGCAAGCTGGTCGGTGCAGCGTGCTTCCAAGGTTTTCCGCTAAAGATCTGGCTTCCAAGCGCGGAAGAGGCGCCGCCGGAACAGCCCCAGACCGCCTCAAGACAGGCCTGCAGGACCCAACGAAGGTCCAACGGGGACCCGCGAGGGCCCAAGGGGGCCTCCACAGACGCACGAAACAGCCCAAGAAAGAGGCCGCCTCGAAAGCTTAAGAGGCCCTCCCACGGGCGCCAAATTGTTCGAGAAGCTCAAGGTTGCGTGTTGAGTTCCATCTGTGTCGGCCCAGGGTGGCCTCTGGAGCAACTCGGAGGATTTTCAAATGGTTCAGATTGGCCTAACAACTTTCCAAGACAACCACCAAACCAACCAAAAGACCTCCAAAAGAACGTCCAAAAATGCCCCCCACGACGCCGAAGCCCGCCTCACGATACCATCAAGAAGCCCTGAGAGGACCCCCGGGGCCTCAAGACGCCCCGAGCGACACTGCAAAGCCCATCATTCGCCCTCCTCCTCCGTCTGCTCCGTCTGCCCCTCCTCCTCCTCCTCCGCCTCCTCCTCCTCCTCATCAGCAGCAGCAGCAGTAGCATCATCAGTATCATCATCATCATCATCATCATCATCATCATCATCATCATCATCATCATCATCATCATCAGCATCATCATCATCATCATCAGCAGCATCATCATCATCATCATCATCATCATCATCAGCATCATCATCATCAGCATCATCATCATCATCATCAGCAGCATCATCATCATCATCATCATCATCATCATCATCATCATCATCATCAGCATCAGCATCATCATCATCATCATCATCATCATCATCATCAGCATCATCATCATCATAATCGGCATCATCATCATCATCAGCATCATCATCATAATCACCACCATCAACATCATCATCATCATCATCATCATCATCATCAGCATCATCATCACCATCACCATCCTCCTCCTCATCATCCTCATCCTCCTCATCCTTCTCCATATCCCTCGTCTCCTGCTCCTCTACCTCCTCCTCTTCCTACTCCTCCTCCTCCTCCTCGTCCTCCTCCTCCTTCTCCTGCTCCTCCACACTCCACTCCTGCCCCTTATGAACAACTCCTCCCTGTCGCACCCCGAGGCCAGTCGGAAGGGCGGGCTGGGAGTTTCTCCCGAGACTTCCTATCATGGTATGAGCCTGAAGCTGAAGAAAACGGCAACAGATTCACAGATGAAAGGCGGGCCGCTTCCAAAATGCGGCTCTCGCCTCAGCACCGCGCACAATCGCTTTCAAACACCTGCAAGAGTGCCACGGCTTGAGGGCGGGCCGTTTTCAACATGCGGCTCTCGCCTCAACGCCGCGCATATTCGTCGTAACGAATTGCACGAGAGCGGTTCCTTCTCAAAAAAGGTGGCCCTCGCCTTAGCGCCGCGCACTTTCTTTGCATACGACGTGCACAAATCCAGTTGGTCAGTTATCATGGTTAACGGACCCAAAGACAAAGCGATTCGGGACGACTCAAGATTGCCAGGGCGCAACAGTTACGCTGATTCTCTGCGTCGATGTCCCAGGAATGGCGTTCTGGCGATTCGGGAGCGTCAAGACGCGACAGTCAGGTGGACTCGTAGCGTTAAAATCCTGAGAATGGTGTTTTCCATGCATCAGAGTGTTCGCACGGTTGTCCCCCGACGGGGCAAGTCCCTCAATGGGCATGATACCTTGTATGGGGGCTGTGGGGAGAGAACTAGGAGAGAACTAGTCGTTGATGGGTTTACACTGGTCCTCCTCCTCCTCCTCCTCCTCCTTCTCCTCCTCCTCCTTCTCATCATCATCATCATCATCATCATCATCATCATCATCATCATCATCATCATCATCAGCATCATCAGCATCATCATCATCATCCTCATCATCATCATCATCATCATCATCATCATCATCATCATCATCATCATCATCATCATCATCATCATCATCATCATAATCATCAGCATCAGCATCAGCATCAGCATCAGCATCATCTGCATCATCATCGCCCTGCCCATCCCCCTCCCCCTCCCACTCCCCCCCCCCCCGCTATTCTCTCTCACCTGGCTTCTGTCCTCCTCTCCTCCCTCTGCGTTCTCCTCCTCCTCCTCTTCCTCCATCGGCGATGCATCGGCGACGTCGGCGATGCATCAGCGCCGTCGGCGTGGGGAAACACGGGCTCCACGTCCAGCCGCGTCGCCGATGCGTCGGCGATGCGGCGCGATCCTCCGACCGCATGTACTCCGACCCCATCTAGGAGGCCCAGATCCTCCTCCTCCTCCTCCTCCTCCTCCTCCTCCTCTCCTCCACCTGCTTTTTGTCCCTCCTCCTCCTCCTTCTCCTCCTCCTTCCTCCTCCTCCTCCTCCTCCTTCCTCCTCCTTCTCCTCCTCCCGCCTTCTTCCTCCCCTCCCCCCTGGGCATCCGAGAGCCCTCCTCGGGTCTTGGGACCGCGGGCCCTGCCCCCTTCCCTCGAGTCCATGGCACGGCCGGAAGCGCCCTCGTCGCTCGGCCCGCACTCTGGCTCCAGAGTGGGGGGCCCCGAGATCCCTACCCGAAGGTTCCCGCGTCCTCTCCTCTCCTAGGTTCCCGGGATCCCTGCCCCTACCCCTAGGTTCCCCTCCCCCCCTCCCCTCCCGCTCCCTGCCCCCCCCCTCCCCTCCCACTCCCCTGCGTCCTTCCCTCCCCTCCCGCACCCCAAGGTTACCCCGAGGTTACCCTCTACCCCTACCCCTAGGTTCCCACCCCTCCCGCGTCCCTAGGGTCCCGGGATCCCTACCCCTAGGTTCCCTACCAGGTTGACGCGCCCCTCCCTCCCCATCCAGCTCCCTGCCCCCTCCCCCCGCCAGAACTGGTACGTGTGACACGCATCGTCGGAAGTCCTCTCGTGGCGGCCGCCGCCGTCTTGGGCGTCTGTGATCTGGTGCCGGCGAGTGGGTTGGGTGGGCGGTCTGCAGATCTATGGGCCTGGGCTCGGGAATTCGCGGGGTGCCCTGAAGCCTGGTGTCTCCCCCCCCCTCGCCCCTCCCCCACCCCGTGCTAATGCTGGTGCTGCTGCCTCCACCTGTCCGCAGCCGTACCTCTCAGCAGAGCTTCGAGCTTCCCAATCCCCTCTGGCCGAACCTGGTGCCTTCACGAAGCCACTCCCACGATGGACTCGGAAGGCTCGGTAGCTGACCTAGAGGCCAAGAGGCCGAGGCGCTCGACTGGCGAGGGCGACGCCACGCAGCCAGCAATCTCGCAGCAGGCAGTGCAGCGCTGCTGGATGGCGCACGTCCCAGCCTGCGGCTCACCCTGACGTCAGCTGCAGAATCCCAAACCAGAAAGCACCCAGAAGGACCCTGCAAGAGAACGCTGAATGAGAAGAGTTTCAAGTCAAGGAGCAATTGTCCCACATGGGCCCCACAGACCAGCAGGCATGGACAGCCGCAGCAGCCGCAGGAGGCCCGCCCCCAGGACAAACACGCTCGCCTTCTTGGAGGCAGTGCGCGGCACCGCACTGGCGGGCACGCAGCAGAGAGGCGAGGGTGGCGGCGTCCCAGTGGCGGATCTGGGGCCAAGCCCAAGCACGCAGCTTCCCCCAGCGGCGGCCCAGGCAGGCACGGGCGCCGAGCGGGACTCCCCACCACTGGGGTGAGACAGCTGCGGAGCGGGCGGGGTCCTACTCACAGCGGGGCTGGAACCGTTCCAGGACAGGGCGTACTGCGCTGGCTGCTGGGCCTCCTGGAAGGAGGCGCGCGCCCTCGACGACCAGAAGCAGAAGCTCCAGCAGCCCGCGGCGGACCCTGGGCTGAGCGCCGCTCCCACGCAGCACCAGGCACAGGAGCGAGCCGGTGAGAAGCCCGCAAGCCATGGAGGCACGGGGCTCCCGCTCGCAGGCAGCATCCCCGCAGCACCGACCAGCCCTGCGACACTCAAGGAGGAGGGAGGAGGGAGGAGGAGGGTGGATGAGGGAGGAGGAGGGAGGAGGAGGAGGAGGAGGGGAGGAGAGGAGGGAGGAGGGAGGAGGAGGACCCCATCGATCGGGGCCGTTGGGGCCCCAGACCCGCGCGCCCTGCCAGCGTGCTGCCAGGGCTGCGAGGTCGGCAGCCCAGCTCTCGGCAGGGTACTGCGAGGGCCGCTGGGGCCACTGGCCCGCGGCCCAGGCGGCAGCGTTGGAGGCCCCACGCCCCGCTCCCCACCCCACGCGAGTGACGCCGGCCTCCGGCTTCTCTCTGCGGCAGCTGCTGGGTCGCGCACCGCCCCGCGGAGCCCAGCGCCTCGGGAGCGCGGGGAGGGTGCAGCCGGAGGCCCGCACGCACTGGCTCCCGCCCCGCTCAAGCACGGAGGAGGGAGGAGGAGGGAGGAGGGAGGAGGGAGGAGGAGGGAGGAGGAGGGAGGAGGAGGGAGGAGGAGGGAGGAGGGAGGAAGAGGAGGGAGGAGGAGGGAGGAGGGAGGCTTTGCAGGCGGCGGACCCGCTCTTCCCAGAGCGCTCGCGCCGGAGCCAGGCGGGGCAGGCCCAGCCAGGCGGGCTGGGGGGGGGGGCAGGCGGGCCCGCCTTCTGCTGCCTCCGGGTGCACCGCGGCCGCAGGTGGGTGCGGCCCCTCCCCAGAGGGGGGGGGGCTGCCCTCAGACCGCCCGGTCCTCTCCTGGGCGTCCACCCACAAAGAGAACGCGACCAGGCCCTCCCTCCTCTCAGGAGGCGCCCGGCGGAGCTACATCCCCAAAGATTCCGTTGCCCCGCCGAGCATCTAGATAAAGGCGGGCAACAAAACATGAGTCGTACATGAGCAGGGCCGGGTGCATCCTTCGGCCTCCAGGGAGCAAGTGGAGAAGACCCTGAGGAAGGTGGAGGCATGGACAACCCCGTGGAATTCGGGAGAAGCGCCGAAGGTGCTGGTGGCGCAGCCGCCTCTGCCGACATTGCTGCCGGCCAGCCGGTCCTCCCCGTGAGGAAAAGAATTGCGACCAAAGTCATGTACCCTCTGCCCCTCCCCTCCCTCGTTGTCCGCGGCATGCGCCGCGTCCGCAGCCAGGCTACGATCTCATGCGCCATGGCCAGGGGAAGCCTGTCTAGGTTCAGACCCCCTCCCCTGGCGGCAACTCGTAAGTCTCTGCGCAGGTTCTTGTAGAACTCGTATCGGTGTTTGCGTTGATTTTCGCATGGTTTTTCGTCCCGTGGCTGTTGCCGTGGACACTGGAAACAAAATCAATGTTTCTCCCTCCGCCCTCTCTCTCTCCCTCCCTCCCGCCCCTCCTCCTGGTCCACATGGGACTGGGTCGGATCGGGCTGGGCTGCGATGTCGTTGCTGCCGGCGATGTCGTCGTCGCCGCCCTGTTCGTCGCTGGCTCGTGGTCGTGGTGGTGGTGGTGGTGGTGGTGGTGGTGGTGGTGGTGGTGGTGGTGGTGGTGGTGGTGGTGGTGGTGGTGGTAATGGTGGTGGTGGTGGTGGTGGTGGTGGTGGTGGTGGTGGTGGTGGTGGTGGTGGTGGTGGTGGTGGTGGTGGTGGTGGTCGTGGTCGTCGTCGTCGTCGGCGGCGGCGGCGTCGGCGGCGTCGGCGTCGCTGTCTCCTGAAGGAGCCAGTGCCCGCTGCAGCTGGGGCCACCCAGGGACGGAGATGGTCCCTTCTGCGAGGCGGGGATTTATCCATATCCACCGCCAGTGAACCGACGTTCTGGTGGCCCAGCGGGCGGTGGATATGGATACCTTTGGGCCCCCGGGGACCCGAATATGTCCACGTCCACCGCCTGCCGGGGCCCCCGAAAATTGATCCTCCAGGCGGTGGTCATGTATAAATTCTCGCCTCGGACCTTCCCCTCCTGTAAGGAAGCCGCAATCGACAACCCCCCCTCCTGCCCCAAGAGGCCCCCAAGAGCCCCCCAAGAGGCCCTGGGGACCCCCAGGACGCCGCCAAAGAGCCCCAAGAGACTCCCAAGAGGTCCCCAAGAGGCCCCCGAGAGGCCCTAAAGAGGGCTCCAGGGCTGGCGGAATGAGCGAAGCGATGAAAAAACATTCCCGCCTCGAACCTTCCTCTCGTGCAGGTGGCCCCCTGGGGCCTGGGGCCCAGGCGGCGCCCTGGGCGGGGCCTGGGCCTGCGGCCCTCGGGGCCACCTGGAGAAGGGACTCGGCCCAACCCTCTCGTTTAGGAGGAGGAGGGGGAGGAGGAGGAGGAGGAGGAGGAGGAGGAGGAGGAGGAGGAGGAGGAGGAGGAGGAGGAGGAGGAGGGAGGAGGGAGGAGGGAGGAGGAGGAGGGAGGAGGAGGAGGAGGAGGAGGAGGAGAAGGATGAGGAAGAGGTGACCCCCCCCGGGGGTCCGGGGCACCAGGGACACGCGGAGAGGCTCCCCCGCCCCTGCGCTCTGCGCAGCGCAGGGTCAGGAGCGCCGCAATCGGGTCAGCCCAGCCTGGCAGGTCCCTGCCCTGCGAGTGAGGGAGCATCTTCGTCTCCCTCTCCCGGGTCTCTCCCTTCCTCTTCTCCGTCCCTCTCCCTCCCTTCGTCCATCCCTCCCCCCTCCTTCCCTCCCCAGGGTGAATGCAGGGATCTGTCATGGATGCATGCGCCAGCGTCCACCTTGCGGGGCCAGGCACGTGGAAGGAGACAGGATTCGTCCCAACCTCTCCTCCCTTTTTCGCCTCCCGGTCTGCTCCATGTGGGAGCTGCTGGGGCTCATCCGCAGCTACGCTCCTGGGGGGCCCAGCTCTCTGTTTCTGGATGTCACCCGTCCTCGTCCTCCTTCCTTCCATCCTCGGGGTGACCCCCCACGCCTTCCGTTGTCCTGGTCCCAGGTCTTCCCCTCCTCCGCCCCTGCGCTCGCTCATCGGGCGAAGGTGCGGTTCCTCTGCGCAGGCAGGGGATCGGAGGGTAGCCGCGGGCCGCCGCCCGCTCTCCCCCCTCCCTCCCCTCCCCGCGCGAGCGAGCCTGCCCCTTTCCCCGGGTGCACGTCGCGGAGTCGACGGAGCCGCCTCGTGGGCCCCGGAACCCTCTGCCAAAAGGACCCGAGCCCGCGGGCCAAACCTACGATCCTCTTCGGGAGGACACTTACCTCCGTACTTACCTGCCTCTTTCCTCCTCCTCTTCCTCCTCCTCCTCAATCCTTAACCTCCTCCAACTCTACCTCTTGCTCGTGCTCATCCCTTAATCCTTAACCTCCTCTCAACTCCAACTCTTCCTCCTCCTCCTCCTCCTCCTCCTCCTCCTCCTCCTCCTCCTCCCCCTCCTCCTCCTCCTCCTCCTTATCCCTCCCCCCCGAGGAAGTGCATTGCTGCGCGTTAAAGTTCACTCGGACATGGGAGAAAGAGACGTCACATGCCACAGCTGCCTGCGCCACCAAGAGAGCAGCACGCACAGATCGGCTGCTGTTCTCGAGCTCGCGGAAAAGTGTCACATGCGATGGCCCTCCCCCAATCGGGAGGCCATACGGTCAGGAACTGTTGCCTGGCGCGTCGCGGCGGCGCCCCCCCCGCAGCACTCTCTCTGCCCTGCGCGCGGATGGCGTGTCGCTGCGCTTCGCGGGGCGGGAGGCCGGAGAGAGCTCGGGACCCTGATGCTCGGGGGGCCACGACGTGGCCCACGTGTCGCGCCGACGCGATGCGCTCGAAAACTGACGGCGCGTCACGCTACAATCTCCTGGCATTAACTGGCACACGGCACGATGTCACGAGCGGCCGTCGAGAGGTCGCCAGGTGGAGTGCCGCTCAGACTCGCACGGCGGCGGAGATTGCCGCAGGCGTCCGGATAGTTCCCAGCAGGTTTGGGCTCCTTGGCCTTGGCCTTCGCCTTCGCCTTTGGCTCCGCCTTGGCCTTTGCCTTCACCTTGGCCTTGGCTTTGGCCTCCGGCTCGGCCTCGCCCTTTCCCTTGGACTTCGACTTGGCCCTCTTGGCGGGCTTGCAGTCCTCCCAGTAGGCCTCGATCTCCTTCTTCTTGTACTTTCCTTTGTAGAACTGGCTGAGCTCTTCCCACGTGTACACGGCGCCGTCCTCGGGGTCCACGCGCTTCTCTGCCATCGCGGGAGGGCGCGCAGACGCCGAGCGCAGCGCCACAGCGCGCGCGTCGTGCCAGGCCGCAGGTCTTGAGCCGAGTGGCTACACAACGAGGGGCAGGAAGGAGAAGAGGAAAGGAGAGGGCAACGAGGCAGGAAGGAGGAGAGAGGACGGCGGGCGCACGACGGGGAGGGACGAGGGGGACGGGAGGACGGATTGGCGTTAGATCCGCACCCCAAGAAGCCCCTCTGCTGCACCTCCGGCGACGGTCGACTTGCGCGCGCTTTCCCCAGCATCGAGTGGCATGGTCCCATCAGGCTCGAGCGAATAGGACCAGAGGACAGACCACAAGACCAGAGAGAATTCCTGCACCACAGAGTCCACAAGACCCAACGACAACCCACCGCAAAGACCAGAGGAAAGCCTACAAGATATCAGACCCACAACTGGCGAGTTGTCGCGTGGATGGTTGGCAGGCCTCTTCAATCGCCAGAGGTGCCAATCTGCTCACGCTTGCTACGAAGCCGAACATGTATGCCTTATCCTCCTCTTTCCTCCTCCGCCTCCTGAAGACCCTCGCCCTCAAGACCGCGTTTCACTGCGGCAATCGAGAAGGTGATGCCTGATGCGCACCAACTGTCAAAATGCCAGGGGATGAGATGAGGACGAGGAGGAGCAGCACGAGATCCAAAGTAGAAAACATCGAGCGGAAGCCAGCCATTGCCGCTCAAAGAGGGGCCGTGAACAACCCGATCGCTCCCAGAGACGTCCACACCGAAGCGTACCATCTCGAGTTGGGCATGAACTGTCGACGCCCTCCCTCCCCCACCCCCACCTCCAATTCCCTCGTGCGTCCTGCCTCATCGCTCCCCTCCCGTGTTGCCGAGATCCAACGCGCGAGGCGGTCGCCATGTGGCCGACGCCTGGCTGCGCCTCGTGCCAAAATGGGGGGTGAAACCGCATGCGAACGCAGCCACTGGGGCCTTAGGTGGAGCCCCCTATGGGGCAACGAAACGTGTGAGGGGTGTGCCAAAGTGGGGCGGCGCCGCCATGCGAACTGCACCACTGGAACCTTTGGTGCAGCTCCCTGAGGGGCCACGAAACGTGTGAGGGGTGTGCCAAAGTGGGGCGGCGCCGCCATGCGACCTGCGCCACTGGGACCTTCGATGGAGCTCCCTATGGGGCCCCGAAGCGTGTGAGGGGTGTGCCAAAATGAAGTGGCGCCGCCATGCGAACTGCACCACTGGGACCTTGGTGCAGCTCCCTGAGGGGCCACGAAACGTGTGAGGGGTGTGCCAAAGTGGGGCGGCGCCACCATGCGAACTGCGCCACTGGGGCCTTAGATTGAGCTCCCTATGGGGCCACGAAACAAACGTGTGAGGTGCGTGCCAACATGGGGCAGCGCCGCCATGCAAACTGCGCCACTGGGACCTTAGCTGGAGCTCCCTGAGGGGCCACGAAACGTGTGAGGGGTGTGCCAAAGTGGGGCGGCGCCACCATGCGAACTGCGCCACTAGGACCTAGATGGAGCTCCCTATGGGGCCACAAAACGTGTGAGGGGTGTGCCGAAATGGGGCGGCGGCGCCATGCGAACAGCGCCAATGGGACCTTAGATGGAGCTCCCTATGGGGCCACGAAACTTGTGAGGGGTGTGCCGAAGCTGATGCCGAAGCTGATGGCGATGATGGTGACGATGATGAGGACGATGATGATGATGATGATGATGATGATGATGATGATGATGATGATGATGATGACGACAATCACGATCACGATCGAAGATGACGATGACGATGATGACGACGACGACGACGACCACGGCGATGATGATGATGAAGATGATGTGGTGATGATGATGGTGGTGATGATGATGATGATGATGGTGATGATGATGATGATGATGGTGGTGGTGGTGGTGATGCTAATTATGGTGATGCTGATGGTGATGATGATGATGACGATGAAGAGGGTGAGGAGGAGAAGGCGGGAGGATAAGTATGAGGAGGAGCAGTCTAGACTGTCTAGCCATGTTAGCACAAGCAAATTTTCCGCGAGCCCTCTTGACGGAAAGATGAGTCAACAGACTCCCCAAGTCAGGCAGTCAAAATGACAGTTTGGCCCGTCTTAGGTTGCTTCCTCTCAACTATGTTAAGCAGAGCATTCCTCGCCCTAAGGGGAAGCCTTCCCGAAGAGAGTAGGCTTCAAAGGGATCCAAGCTTGGGGCCAAGGCGCTGGGCACAATATGATCCACACGCCGTGCAAAAGATGTGTGGACCAACCCGCTCCATAATATGGCCCAAGGAAGTGAAACCCTTCGGTCGGTTTGGAGGGGGGGGTCCAGATGGCCTCACGACGGGCCATGAGAGCTCCGTGTCCAAGATGGTCCAAGAGGGCCCCGAATCGCCGATGGATCGTTCCAAGGCGCCCAAGATGGCCCACAGACGGCCCAAGAGGCCACCGAGACGCCACAAGAGGCCCCCAAGAGGCGTCCCAAGATGGCCCCAAGAAGCAAAAATCGCCCCATCCCATTCGGGAAATGCACATATTTGGCATCACACCAAAGAAAAAAAACAATCAGTGGATGGTTTTCGCTGAGAAGATCGACCAAGAACCCGGGAGCCCGGGAACCCAAAACCCACCAAAATCGGCCCGGAACCAATAACCGGGAACCCGGAACCGGGAACCCGGGAACCCAGCCTGCTACCAAAATCGGCGGGAAACTTTCGCCAAATCTTTCAACTTCCACTAGGACCCGACCCCTTCAGTGCAAGCACTGATTGGGGAACATTCGCCTCTTGGGCTTTCACAACGTCTAAGACGGCCCATCAGGCCTCCAAGATCGCCCCAAGACGGCCGAGGAAGCCCCCAAGAAGGCTCCAAGACGGCCCAAGAGGGCCCAAAGACCGCCCAAGAGGGCCCCAAGACGGCTCCAGGAGGGGGCCCAGGTGGGGGACCCGGACGGAAATTTCGAGCCCTCGGCCCCAAGAAGCCTCCAGGAGGCACCAAGAGACCCCCAAGGAGCTCCCAAGAGGCTCCAAGAGGCCCACCAGAGGCCCAAAAGAGGCCCCAAGAGGCTCCAAGACGGCCCTCAAAAAGCCTCAAAAGTGCTGCCAGGAGGCCCCCGAGAGACCTACCAGGAGCCCCCAAGGGGTCGGCGGTGGGGCGCAAGCCCAAGAACCAGCATCATCATCATCATCATCATCATCATCATCATCATCATCATCATCATCATCATCATCATCATAATCATCATCATCATCATCATCATCATCATCATCATCATCATCATCATCATCATCATCATCATCATCATCATCATCATCATCATCATCATCATCATCATCATCATCATCATCATCATCATCATCATCATCCTCATCCTCATCCTCATCCTCATCCTCATCCTCATCCTCATCCTCATCCTCATCCTCATCCTCATCCTCATCCTCATCCTCATCCTCATCCTCATCCTCATCCTCATCCTCATCCTCATCCTCATCCTCATCCTCCTCCTCCTCCTCCTCATCCTCCTCATCGTCATCATCATCATCATCATCATCAGCATCATCCCCATCATCATCATCATCATCATCATCCTCATCATCAGCAGCACTGCCATCAGCATCAGCATCAGCATCATAATACGTACCACCATCGTCGTCATCACCATCGCCTTCATTATCGTCATAATCAGAATCAGAATCATCATCATCATCATCATCATCATCATCATCATCGTCATCATCATCATCATCATCATCATCATCATCATCATCATCATAATCAGCATCGGCATCATCATCAGCAGCATCAGCATCGTCATCGTCATCATCGGCATCAGCATCGCCCACGTCCTCATCCTCATCCTCATCCCCCTCGTCCTCCTCCTCCTCATCATCACCATCATCACCATCATCACAAGCATGATCAACATCATCATGATCACCACTATCGTCATCATTGCCACCATCACCATCACTATCATCATCACCATAATCATCATCCTCATCATCATCATCATCATCATCATCATCATCATCATCATCATCATCGTGATCAGCATCATCACCATCAACATCACCATCGTCGTCATCATCATCAGCATCATCGTCGTCATCCTCATGTTCATCCTCATCAGCATCATCAGCAGCATCGTCATCATCATCATCATGCTCAACATCAGCATTATCATCACCATCATCTGTATCACCATCGCCATCACTTTCATCATCCCCATCATCATCATCATCATCATCATCATCATGAAAATCAGCATCGTCGTCATCATCATCACTGTCACCATCATAATCGCAAAATATCATCATAATCCTCGTTCTCATCCTCATCATCATTATCATCATCACCATCATCGTCATCATCAGCATCATCATCGTCATGATCAACATCATCACTATGACCACCATGAGCAGTATCACCATCGCCATCACCATCACCATCCCCATCATCATCATCATCATCATCATCATCATCATCATCATCATGAACATCATCATCATCAACATCATCATCATCATCCCCATCATCACCGCTACCATCACCATCATCATCAGAATCATCATCATCATCATCATCATCATCATCATCATCATCATCATCATCATCATCATCATCATCGCCATCATCACCATCACCATGAGCAGCGGCGGCATCATCGGCATCTTGCTCCTCATTCACATCCACATCCACGTCCACATTCTCATCCCCCTCATCATGCTCCTCATCATCTTCCTCCTCCGTCTCCCCCCTCTCCTCGTCCTCCTCCATGCCGGCCGGCCGACCTGCAACTTGTTGCCAGCACTGTTGGTCAGGCCTGGATACACTGGGTCGACCTCGGGCAACGCTGTTGCTACTGCTGCTGCTGCAGCAGAGGGGAAGGAGGAGCAGTGGGCAAAACGGAGAGGAGGAGCAGGACGAGGAGGGGATTGGGAGGGGGGGCAAGAGGGGGGCCAAGAGCAGGAGAAGATGGAAGAAGACGAAGGGGAGGAGAGGAGGAGCAGGAGGGG